CCTCCCTCGAGAGCAACCGTTAAAACATCTCTGCACATCTAAATCCGTGTTGCAAGGGATACCTACAACGATTTTGGTGCTTTCTCCAAATTGTTCTTTTTACGCTCCGATTTGGCTTTGCCTGCTCTTTGAATTCTAGCAGTTAATTCAAAGCCCTTCTTAGTTTTGATGCCTTGCATTTAGTCCTGTATGGGCACAGCTCAGCTAACAAAGGTATCAAACTGCATTCGTTCTTCAGTGCAGATAAAGCCAAGGGATCCTCAGGTGGGTGAGACAGGTACGTAGGAGGGGGAAGAGACAAAGAAGGTGGACAAATCGAGAGGTTATTAGGTGGATCAGTGGATTAGTGTGAAGAACAAGCAGCAGGAGGGAAGAGAGGAGGTTGGAGGAGAAGGGATGGATAGTGGAGGCACAGAGGTTTCTTTCTCAAAAGGCATGATTCCCACTATTCTAATGCTGGCTTTCTCTCCCATTGCTCCCCGTTCCTTTTTGAAGGCGAACCCCCGTGGAAAACCCATCTGCACCCGCCTGCCGTTCCAAGTTCGGACTCTGTGCCGGTGCCCTTTGACCTTCCGGCCCTCCACCCTCCCGCGCCTCCCTCCTTCCCTCCGCCTCGGTCTCTCTCTTCTACGCACCGCATGAGCGTTACCTGCCGGGGGCGTCCCGAAAATCTCTTTCTCTTGGTTTGGGGGATGGAACAGGTTGGGCACCCCTGTAACACGAAGAGAAGAAGAAGAAGGTTCATTCACCCTCTTTCTGTGCGCTTTTCCTGGGGGCGTCTCTCTCGGCGCCCTTTGGATGGTAGGGCCTTAGTGGGGATCATGGGTCCCTCCAGAGGTGGATCAGCTGCAAATCCCATCATTCCTCACCCAATCCCACTCGCTGGATCCATTTGCTCTTCCTTGCCCTCCTCACATGGGATTTCTGTACATGGTTCCTCCTGCCACAATATGCACATTCTTGACCTAGGTTTATTTTTGTATTTTACCCCAGTCTATATACATTTCTGCCTCTTTCCCTCGCTGCCTAAAGCCAATTTGTGGGCATTTTCCATGCATGCACATCCTTCCCATGGATGGGTGCATGGTCTCTGCATGTGTTTTTCTTTGCCTTCCTTGGAAATGAATGGCCATAAAAGATGAAATATGCTGCTAGCCTTGGGAAAGAACTAATGACAGACACAGTCTTCAAAATGAAATAATCTCATCCTGGGGCATCTTTCCATGTCTAAATCCATGTTGCACAGGATAGCCACAGCAGTTCTGGTGCTTTCTCCAAATTTTTCTATTTATGCTTCGATTTGCCTTTCTTTGCCTGCTCTTTGAATTCTAGCAATTAATGTTCGCAGCTTTGATCTCTTGCATAGTCCTGTATGGGAATACCTCAGCTAACAAAGTCAACATGTTCCTTAGGTCTTCAGCAAATAATTTGGCACTAGAGGCAGAAATAACATGGAAAAATTAGGGAGAGTTTTCTCCATCACAACAAAGGAGAACAGTTCAATATGTTTCCGCAAAATTATTTTGATCACAAACGGACATTCTGGATGTATGAGAAGAACCGAACCGGGGCAGGTAAGCCTTGCATGAACAAAGAAAAACCTTTTAGAGGCCACTTGAAGACATCTTCCAAAGTTCATTAAGGGATTTTTAAAAAAAGATTATTTCACCTACTTCCCTTTTTTAAGATTTCCACTTTGCTTTGCTTAACATACTGGGGCTAGCTGGTAAGTCCCGCTCCTATCTTTCC